GGTAGATGTACTCCAAGGGACCTAACAGAGGTTTTCAAAGCAAATATTCCTTGGTGCATAAAAGGGGTTTAATCAGAAGACACAAAAAAGTTCAAAGAGTTATCTTTATACTCCCCCTTCTTTTAAAAGGTTAGAAATAACAATTGTCAGTTTAGTAAAATCATCTTGTAAATAACATCCCGCTAATTTGAGATTACACAGTGAAATAATTGTATGCCATCCTAGGTCTCAGGAAAGCATGTTCTCATTAGAGGCAGATATATGGTTAAGAAAACTGTCACAGAGGGTTTTTGAGAATCATATTAACTAACAAGTCACCTTAGTTCTTCTGGAGTGGAGCATAGTAGAAAATAAAATCATAGAAACAGAGTTCTTCTGTCTAGAAGGCTGGATGGGGATGTGTCCTGTCTGTGAGAGGCAACTCCTCCTCAGGGGCAGTCGGTAGACCCCACCTGCACTGGACCACCTACCCATTCCCTTGCTGGAGGCATTTCAGCCAAGGAGAAACAGTTTCCCTTGGCCTTTTTCCACAGAGGGGCATAGCTGGGTGGGTACCTGGGGATAGGGAGAAACTTTTAAATCATCTAGAGACTAGAAGAACTAAAGATTATTGATGAGCATTATTCATTTTTGTATAAGTCATAATAAAGATGTTTGTTTGGTAGGAAATTATCCCAAAATTTTAAAGATTAATAGCAGTCAAAAAGGCAATGTAATTCAATTTAACCAACATTTACTGACCGTGTACTAAGAACCCACTTCTATTCTAGGGCTGTGGAGATGCAAAGAAGAATGAAATAAAACTGTAGCCCTCGGAGAGCTTACTCTCTAGTAAAAGATACAAACTCTATAAACAAATAGCTAGAAAACAAATGAGTAGCAAATGTCAAAAGAGCCAAGGAAGTAGTCATCATGAACAAAATAACCTGAATGTAAGAATGACAAACTCCGGCCGGGCGCGGTGGCTCAAGCCTGTAATCTCAGCACTTTGGGAGGCCGAGACGGGTGGATCACGAGGTCAGGAGATCGAGACCATCCTGCCTAACACGGTGAAACCCCGTCTCTACTGAAAAATACAAAAAGCTAGCTGGGCGAGGTGGCGGGCGCCTGTAGTCCCAGCTACTCGGGAGGCTGAGGCAGGAGAATAGCATAAACCTGGGAGGTGGAGCTTGCAGTGAGCTGAGATCTGGCCACTGCACTCCAGCCTGGGCGACAGAGCAAGACTCTGTCTCAAAAAAAAAAAAAAAAAAAAAGAATGACAAACTCCTAGAAATGGAAGCAAACACTTTATTCTTATTAAGTTATGGTATAGGTATGTAACAATGTAAATTTATATGATATTCATATGCTATTTTATATTAAATTTTTAAAACTAATTGAAAAAGGAAACATTTAATTATTGCTATATTTTTATTTCATAATTCATTACTGCTTTGACTTCGAATCAGAAACCTCACATCTTTTTTTCTGTACCAAAACATGATTCGTGCCCTGTATTTTTCACTGCGATGCGCAGAATGCAGCCTTAAACACTTAAGCCAGGAGGGTGGTTGGTAGTTTTCTCAGATTAATTTTGGAGTTGAACTACTCCTAAACGTAGGCTCTTCCTGACATGGATGGAATTACTGTAAATGGTTCTTATATCTAGAATCACCTCCTCCAATATGTGTGTACAATCCTGGCTTTCAGCATTGTTCTACTTAGACTTCAAATAGACTTCAGTACCATTTTTGTACTACAGTTTGATAATGTCAAATCACAGCCCAACATAGGTACTATCAAAAAATAAGAAAGATAAGCTAAATAATGTTAGTCTATTTTCATAAAGTTTGAAGTCTGAGAACATTTTTAGAATTTGGTTTTCAATGGCATAGTTTTAGAGAATAAATTTTAGGGTATCATCTTCATTTCTGGAAACTGATCACAACGTAGGAAAGTAGAGGAAATTATTCCTTTACAAATGAACTTGCCAAAAAGTTAACTTTATCAGGACTGAGAGAAGCTCACAAATGAAACATTTGTGCAATACTTGTGACTGTACCTATAGAAAAATTGTCAAAAGATACAGATAAGTGGTAGAGTCAGCCACTGCTAAGCAGAGATAGGGCTATCCCCTGTGATTACATTAACAGTTAAAAAAATCTCTTCTGCACCACAGTGCAAGTAAGCCAGCAAATTCATTAAGCAAATGTTGACCTGATTTTGCTCAAAGACATAGAAGAATAGCCAATTTGTGGTATTAGTTACTGAATCCATGGCTTCTCCCATTTTAGCTTTGTGCCCAAAGGAATTTCTGATGAATGAGGAAATTAATGGACTTAGGGATAGTGTCCCTACAAAATAGTGCCACCTATGGGCTGTTGCTTGACAGGCCTGACATTAACTCCACCCATCCTGAAAGCTCCATCTGTAGTAACACTTGGTGACTTTGACCAATGCATTCTACATCCAAATGGTCTGAGACCTTTTTCATAACATAGAGTCAGCCATTTCCTGATGTTTTGCCTTTCATGGGCTCCTAATTCTGAAGTTCCTTGACCCATTCAGAATTCTCACCACACCACAAATAAATATAGTTAACAGTGTGCTATTCTTTATATCTGTGTTCTCATTTGCCGCAAGAGAAAATGCCATCCATAAATTAACTTGTCCTGACAGTTCTCAATCTTATTTTTAACCTACCAAGCTACAAAGTTGCTCGTTAGACACATAATTTCTGCAGCATTCAAAAGAGACTCTTATAAACTGTGCTGTCTGTAAAAAGGTTTTGATGCCCAGGCAATTTTTTCACTTAATAAAGAACTGTATTTCACAGCAGCTCACTTATTCTCGTTCAAAAACAAATGCTGCCATTTCTTCAGTCCATTAAATTTTCCAACACCCATCTTTTCTGTGTAGCAGTCAAGGCCGACATATTTTTTTATGGTGCCTTAAGATGTAATTTTTCTTTGCAAACATTCTTTGGTTGGATACTCTTCCCATCCACCCCCCCAAAAAAAAGGTATGCTCCTATTTTTTTCTTATAATAATTGTTTTTTAGGAGATGTACAAGTTCATTTTCCTCTTCTTTTTACAGTAAGAAAAATATCAGTAAACACATGGTGGTAAAAAGCTACTACTCTCTGATTTCAGTGCTGGGAATACAATAGGAAGATGTGGAGGCTTTAACTAACTGAGACGGCAGAGTCCTCTGATTTAGGGGCTGTCTACCTGGTGAGGACATCAACCCTTCACTGTCAAAGGCAGCTGGAAATCAAAACATTTCAAGAAAAATCTTCTAATTGTTTAAATGTTGGCAACTTATTCAAAGTTTATTAAAATACCAAGTGGATCAACACCATTCTAATCAAGCAAAACAAGGCACTCTGTGGGCTGCCCATCTGCAACCTCTGGATACGTAGAGTATAAAAGTAAAACAATCTATACCCTACTTTTATTTTAGTCCCTGAGAAGTAAGAGAAAAGGCACAATTATATCAACGTATTTCTATGAAGTATGAAATCCAAGAGCCATAATTAATTTGGAAATGGTCTAATAAGGCAGGGTGGTGTGCTGAAAAGGATACCCTTCTTGAAGCCAGACATGTTTGGGGAATCCTGGGTATTTCACTTATCAAGTTGGTTAACTTTCGATTCCTCATCTGGAAATAAGGATAAAGTGATCTGGTAAGCTTCTTAGTATACTGTCTGGCATTTGGAAAGTGTTCCATAAATGGTAACCAGGACTGTTATTATGAAATGCAAAATATGCATTTTCAACCACATTTCTTTGTATCCCTCCCAAATATCGCTTGTGCCCAGGCCCTACTGCTCTCACTCCTGCTATCCCTTCCTGTGCTCCCATGTTTCATCTCATGGCCTGATGGCGTAGACCCCTGCTCATAAGTACTCTCTGGAGTTTCCCACCTCTTTTCCTGGCCTGTGCTCTTGCCTCTCCCTAGAACATCTGTCCATTTCTTCTTCGTTCAGTTAACTCCTGTGAGACTCGACCTAGCTGTCACCTCTTCTAGGAAGTCTTCCTTCAATGCCACCACCCTCCAATCTAAATAGAGCACTCCCTTTTTTCTGCCTTGTGTTCGCCTCAGTCATAGCATTTGTCAAATGGTCTTATAAACCGTGAGCTCCTGGGAGACAGGAACTGGGCCAATCATCTCACTGTTCCTCACACGTGAGTGCAATGCTTTTACGTGGCATGTAATTAGGAATCAGAAGAATTCATTCCCTCCTTTATGAAGGGAAGGGAAGGGAATAAATCCTCCTTTTAGGAGGATCTATCCATAAAGGATGGGATGAATAAATGAGGTGACTGGAGACCAGCATAGCAAGTGCTCACTCCACTTCAGCTTCCCTTCTGCTTTACAAAGTTTCAAACGTCTTTTGCTACCGAGTGTGCATTTCTTCCCTTGCCTTCCCAAAGCTTACTCCTGCTGCTCTCTCCACTCTCACCCAAACCAATGGAGATTTCCATTCTGGAATGGCAGGTCTTGACAGAAGAGGCACGTTAAGTGTCACCTCCTGAGTCTTGCAAGTGGGCACTGGAAAGACCTCTAAGAGGGTTTCTTTTGAAAAGTAATAATGAATAAAAATACAGCCACTATTTGGAGGTGAAGAAGGGGAGAACCATAACCCAAGGTCTTATCTTCACTTTCAGAACATGTGGCTTCTTAGCTCAGTGGGAGCAAGACTATGTCTTGTACACTAGCATCCATAGTCCTATAGCAGAAGAGAAAGCATCTTCTAGGATAGGGCTGCCAATAGCGTGTACGGTAGCTTTCAGTAAAGAAACGGCACCCCTTTCTCCAGAGGGATGCAGACCCCTTCTGGAATACTTAGTGAGAAGAAGACTAACCAGGCCGCGGCCCACATGTGCCCCTCATCCAGGTACCTTTGTGAACTACCCATACAACCTACTGAGGTAGTCCCAAGGTAAGAAATTCCCTTATTATGCACAATATTAGAAAAACAATGATGAATAATAGGCAAATATTTATTCTTTTCTAGGAACATGGGTGACATTTGGAGGTCAAATTTCAGATGAGGTAAGTTACCTTTGGCCTGTATTATGCTGATGAAAGAAAATGCAGAGAGAGCTGTATAGCGGGAGTCCTCTTCCTGGGACTCTGACATTCTACAGGGATAAGGTTTAAATCACAGGAAATGGTTAAATTGCCTCAGAGATTATTGTTGATTTTATTTTGCCTGTTGTATTTTTTCCATTTAGACCATTAATAGCCCTTGAAGCTGTATACTATACATGCAGGTTGAGCAGTTAGAGAACGAAACAATTTGGAATAAACATTAGTCACTTTATGAAAAGATTGTATTGCTGTGATGTGATTTTGCTTCATTTATTTGTTTATTTTTAGCTGCAACTAGGATGACTAACTTGTCTCAATTTGCACAGAAGTTTCTCAATTATAGTATTGAAAGCCCACGTTGCAGAAACCCTCTCAGTCCTAGGAAAACTGAACAGTTGGTCACCTGCCTTGGGCAACTTAATCTAACCTCTCTGAGCCTCAGTCCATCCTATATAAAATGAGATGCTAATGCTAACCTTCACGGTCTGTTAAAAGGATTAACACATCATGCTTGTCAGATGTTTATATAGTCCTCTGACTAGCAGGTAGCAGACACTCAATAAATGGCAACTATGGTAATTATATTTACCATAAAATTCCTTTAGATGATCATTTACACAGTCAAAACAGTACTTACCAAAGTGACATTTTTATTGTTTCCTTTAAGGAATACCTTCATGGCACAAGTGAGGTATGCAGGCATTGAGCACCAAGAACTCCCCTGAGGGCAATGCCCTGAGTCCCTCTGATCCCTCCTTGTCTACTTGCAAGAAGAGTCAGGGATAGTGTATCTGAGCGGGATCCAGTCACACTCTACCATTGACCGACCTGGTTTACTAACATTTATGTGTATTAACAGCGGCCACATCAATAAAATGCTCATACCCTCTGTTCAGCAGGATGGTGGTTAAGATTAACGAGATGATGCCTGTAAAGGGCTTAGTGGGGTACCTGGCCCAGAATAAGCCCTTTACAAAGGTAGTGCTTACCATCATTTCTAATGAGACACTTGGGAAACGGAGGCTTTTCTCCACAGCTCCCAAAATCACCAGTGTTATTTAGCAGATCTGAGAGAGAAGTCTTGACTGTCTATTCTTGTCTGTCCTAATGCCTGTTCCCTGTATTGGGCACATGTCACCTTAGAGGGCTTGCCTCATGGAGGCTCCCCTGGTATGCAGACTTTAAGCTAAAGAGTAGCCTGCAGGACAGTTATTAGGAAGTGTTCTCAGGATCAGCACAGGGCAGGGAAGAAAGCAGCACTGGGCAGACAGAGAACTTGGGTCATGATGCAGCCTCAACAATGACCTCAGCCAACTCCATGGGGATCTCCGAAGCTGAGATGGTTCTGCAGAGTTGTCTCAGTCTGGCACAACATAAAGGATTGGGCCTTTATGTCCTTTTACTGACCAGTCATTGGACCAGAGGCTGATCAGGAAGCAGGTCTGACCTTGGGCTAGGTGACTCTCTCTAGCCAAGTGCAATTTCCAGAGAGGGCTGACGGAGGAAGGCCATTTGATGGCAGCATTCACAGCAACTCAGGGAATAAGTCCTTCAGTTCCAAAGGAGAACCTGAGGGCACAGAGTCTACTACAGGGCTCTCTCTGACTGGTACCAGGAAGGGGTGTATGGAAGAGGCACAAAGGCAAAGCCACAGAAAGCAGAGCACAAGCTATGGACTTGAAGTCTCATACAAAATAGGTGGCAAGCAGGGAGGGAGGCCTACAGTTAATAATCCTCTGTATCCAGCACATGTATTACCTACTACTGACTGGATGGTGCTTAGAAGAGAAAAAGACAAAAATATGTACCCTTTCTGAGCAGAGGGGCCAAGTAAAGTGCATTATTTCCCCCTAGTCTTCACTCTCCTCTTCACAGTGTCTGCTCTCTGCTGCAATGAGCCAAGCTTGCCCGGGTTGTAGTGTGCAGGGCTGACCTCTGAGATGAATAATTTCCAAATTTCAAGTCTAAAAACTACAATAAAGCTGTCATGAATGGCTGCTGAAGTGCTCATCTCAGATGCAGACCAGGTAAATAGCTATTGTACCTCCAGAGAGCATCTGTGGCTTTCCGTGGGTCCTTGAAGAGAGAATACCAGCAAAGAGAAGAAGGGAGACACAGCCAGAGTCAGTCTCACCCATCACAGAATTCTTTGAGCTCAGTGCTTTCCATGTAGCAAAAACGCGGATCAATAGCAATGAGTTGACCTACCTCGATTTTTCTGCTTTCTCTCTGGCTTCAAATAATCTCAACACAAAGTACATGCAAATATGGAATACTAGGGCTGGCCATACTACAGTGTGCTGAGTTAATTGTTGACAATTACATCATTGTCAACACTGTCTCAGGAGGTGGGGATGTCCCCATCACTGGGAGAGTTCATTTACTGAATTACCATTTGGCAGGGATATTATCAAAAGGATACAAACACCAAACTCTGTAAGGTGCCTCTCAAAGATGATTTGGCTTCATCATAAAATAAAGATAGGTGTTACTGATATGAATAATTATTTCTTTAAAATAATGATGAGAGCAGATTAGCATCTTACAGCACTTAATTTTCAGAGTTTTATTGATTTTTTTTTTTATCTGTAAGGTAGTTAAGGTGCCCTTAACTGTAGGTATCAAAAACCCAACTCAAATCAGGTTAACCCATAAAAGAAAAATTATTTTGACTTTTAAGCTAGAAGTGCAGACAAAGAGCAAGCTTCAGGGCTGCCTCTGTCAGTGACTCCCAATCTGCTTCCCAGCGAGTCTCTTGGCCGGTGGGGCTTTGTGTATCAACTGCTTCTTCAGGCAGAAAGACAGCTGCCGGAATCCCAGGCTTCAATTAGAACTGTAATTCCAGGGTAAGGGTGTTGCTCCTAGAAACTCAGTAGGAACAAATAAAAATGTTCCCAGAAGTCCCCAGCAAACTTCTCCTCATATCTCATTGGCCAGGGTGTGTCACATGACCCTTCCTGAGTAACTCTCTCATGGGCCCCCAGGCCCCCGCTAGAGGGAGGTGAGGTCAGCTTTGCCTGAGGCCTCTGGGCTTCATGCAGGAGGAGGAGATAGCTGAACAAAATCATCCCCATTTTGCAAAGGAGGAGGCTGAATCTACAGAGAGGTCAGATGGTTTGCCCAGATTTATCTATCTAGTAAGTAGCACCCTCAAGGCCAGAAACCACTCTTCAGACTTAGTTGGTGATGTTTTTCATTATTTCACATTCAGGCCTTCAAGTCCAATGATTGGGAAACATCTCTGTCATCGTTTAGTTTAAGTCTCCATGCAGAATTCTCCATCTTATCTTAAAAAAAAACTCTCTAGATAAGGTTTGTGTACATTTTCCAATAATAATATACCAGTATGTCATATGACATAACACAGGCTAATATAAAATACATGCACAATAATGTTTAAAAATAGGACAGTCATAATGGGGAAAACTTGTCTTAACTTTTAATCTCCAGTTAGGATATAATTTAAAAATTATAGGAATACAAGATAAATGTTTTAATGGTAGTAAATTAAAAGCATTAATAGCATACTATTATGCTAAAGAATCTGGATGGACTCCATTTTGCTAACTTAACATTTTTCTTGGTAGGCTAATTTTTAAAGCAAACAGAAAAATAGTTCATTTTGGAAATGCTGATGAAGCAACTTCAGCCTGCCATTAAAACATAATGAAAAAATCAATTATAATTATTTGCGAGGTGTGTAATTTTCCAAATGACTAGTAAGTCAATTGGCAAAATGAAAAAATGGCCCCTCTCCACTGTTGTTTATGGCTATCCCTCTCTGGCTATTCCTTAAGCTGTGTATAGCTATTCTCTACTCTTCTGTCATACTCACTGCTTGCGTTCAGCAGCACAAAGCAAGGAACAAGGAGATTTGAGGTCTGTTTGCAGGCAGAACAGTGAGGAACTGGGTTCCTGGTGAGTCAAAGGCACGCTGCCCCCTCTCTGTGTTGATTCAATGGCTGCTCTACGATGGTGCCTGAGATTTTGCTGAACTGTGGGTGGCAGGAATTTTATAACAGTCACAGCTCTGTCTCAGCATCAAGAAAAAAGTCACAAGCCTTCAGGTCAGGAGTCACCTAGCTGCCAAAACTTACTGGCTTGGAGAAAAGAGTTGAGGAATGGAGTCACCAGTGATACAAATGGCCCCCCTCTGTCAGAAAGATTAAGATGCCATAAAGAATGTTGTCAAACCAGCTCTTCCCAGAAGAGTGAGAAACACAAATCTATCTACTTTGGTCAGGCTAAATCCCAGCCTTCACGTAACTCCTCAGTGCCCTATGTCTGAAGGAAAGAATACTTCAGTCCTATGGATACTGGCTGAGCCTTCTTTCTTTCCCTCTTTTCACTAAAACTAAGAAAAATAAGGAGTGGTTAGTGAGAGGTCAGTGTTCCTAAAGATCAGTAGAGGACTCGAAGTTGCTTCCAGGTTTGGAAAGCACTTGGCTTTTCTGACTGACCTTCCCATCCCCTTGCAGGTTGCTGAACGGCTGATGACAATCGCCTATGAAAGTGGTGTTAACCTCTTTGATACTGCTGAAGTCTATGCTGCTGGAAAGTAAGTCAGTACCTGTTTGTGTCACTCAAATGGCATCTGTAGCACCAAAAGAATCAAACCATTTCCAACATGTTGGTGAAAAGGTTCTGTCCTTTCTCCACGTGTTGATGGCTCTGCTCTGCCCTCTACCACCATTACTAGAATTGGGGATACTGACTGTCTCTGGAACTCTCTGCTCACCCAAACCTTCCTGCTTCTGGTCTCTGTATGAAGAATGGGCTGAAAAGGTATATGACCAGGAAGCAATTGCCATGTCTATGTGAGGGACAGCAGAGTCTGGTGCCAGAGTGGTGGCAGTGGAGACTGAGAAATATTAGTTGAATACATTAGTGACCAAATGAATGAACAGGTTCCAAAATGGTTGCTCAAAAGTTAGTGTCATTATTTCATAACCGTATCTCATAGTTCTTCAGCCCCTGAGGAACTGGGACATCCTCCTCGCAGGGAAGCAGAAGCTTCTCCTGTTTACCTCCCTGTCCCTACACTAGCATTACAGGAAGATCAGACGTCAAAGTCAGGATCCCCCAAGATGACAAAGAATCTGTTATCTTTTGTAAGAGGGGATCTCAGAGCCCATTCTGAGGACAGGAAGGGTTGTAGAGAGTCCTCGCTTCTTTTGTGAAAGGAGTCACATCCAACTGCAACCTTCCTTTGAACCCAAGGCAGATTTGGAGCCCTAAGACAGGGCTTGTTAAACTAGAACACATAGGAAATGGGCCAGGCCAGGCCTGAAGTTTCATGCCGTCCAGGTTCCAGCCTAACCAGCACAGTTCAGAATAGATCTGGGACTCCCTGGCCTCCTACTGGGAAGATGGATGTCCAGGTCTCAGAACCAAGGAAACTAAATAGCTGCCCAGCTGTTTGAACAGCTCTGCAATTTTCTAACTGGACTGTGAGGTATAATCACCTGCAGGCCTAATTCACCTCCTTCCAGGTGAGAATTACAATCCAATTGCTGGACTTGCTGAATCAGGATGATCAGTGGATGGTCCCAGTGCATTTTCTTTGCATGAGTTTCCTCCTTTTCAAGACATGTATATGTTTAAGGACCATCAAGGAGGTTCATAGCTCACATTCTTGACGCTTTCTGTTGAATCCAAGGAGAGAAAGTAAAGGTTATAGGGTCTTGCTCCTTTCTGCCTTCTACCCCTTTCCATTGTTTTCTTCTTGTGGAATCCTGCTTAGTACCAAATGGCACTAAGGTAGAAAAAGGGAGAAGTAAGTAGCAAGTCTGTTAGAGTCCTGTTTGTATTACTCCTGTGAGGATAATCGCTCTGATTAATTATTGATTATCAGTCTATAATTGAGATAGGTTTCCACTGTGAAATGCAAGGTTGTAAAAGGTAACAGAGAGATCGGGAGAAGCAAAAGCAACACACCAATGCAAGACTCAATGCTTGTCTCTTTGGGGCATACTCCACAGCTAACCTGCATCATAGCTTATTGCAAGCTATACACTCTAACAAAGACAGAACTTTCAGTTAAAACCAATGATGATTAGCCATGACTCCTGTCCACAGCATCCTAATGGGCAAGGTGCTAATTCCACTGATTTCCCATTCACTAAGCCTCTGAGAGCCCAGCTGCTTCTGGCAATGTTGGTCATACTGGGAGGGACATAGAACATTTGTCTACTCAATCTTGGGTCCCAGCCTGGGTAGGTGGAAGAGGAGAGGACAGTGGATGCCTTCAGTATGCCTCTGCAACTCAGCCTTAGGGGCAGGAAGGACACTTCGTTATGTCTTCCTCTGTTTTGCTCCTATGACAAAGTTGGTCACTGGAACCTAGGATGTTCCGTACGTGAGTGTTCTCTATGTGGAACATCTAAACCCACAACATCGGTTTTAATTTATACCTGAGAGCCAATAGTTTCTATCTAAGCAATGTGAGGTCTCATTGTTCTTCATGGTCACAATTGAATTGCTTCATAGCAATTAGAAGGAAAACTTTGACCTCCTTTGGACACTACCAAGCAAGACATTTATATATGGGATCATTGGTTCAAAAACACCAAACTGCAAAATGACTGCTGCTGCTTAGTATCAGGACTGCAGGCGGTCTCCTGCCAGCGTGTCAGGATTTGGCAGGTGCTTCTGGAATGCTCCGGAGCAGGATTCTGCAGGCACAAGCAGAAACAGCGGAAACTGTGCTACCAGCCGAGAGCGGCTTCTATTTTCGGGATATGTAGGCACTGAGAGTTCAAACAAGGAATGGTTCTTGTGTTCTGGATTGACTCTTGCTTTTCCAGGACACTGCATCCTAAGACATTATCTGTTTCCCTCTCCAGGGCTGAAGTGATTCTGGGGAGCATCATCAAGAAGAAAGGCTGGAGGTATTGCATTTGCCATAATTATTTGTTTATTTTTAAAAAGATATCGTTTTGCACCAGAGAAGGAAAAATAAAATTATGTGACATCTGACCAAAAGGTTGTCAAAAAAAAATCAACTGTTGGTAAAGCAATGATTTATAGTGGCTTGAAAATAAATGCCGGCAAGTTCACTTCTGGCACTTCAAAAATTAGTCTAGTCAATGACTAGATCAGTGACTAGTCATTGATCACAATGAATTACCAAAGGGTTGAGCAGAGGAGGGGATGTTCATGAAATATTTGTGCATAAAAAAGTAACAATTTCATGGCTTCTGACTGCCATTTGTGCTAATCTGTTGTAGGAAGTAACTTGACAGAAAACTATCCCCCCACACACATGCATTTATGTTTGCTGTTTATTTTATTAACTCTGGATGCAAAGAAATGATGAAACAAGAAGACTTTGGGATAAATACCCCAAAGCTTTCTTATCTGAACACATTTAGTCAGCGTCTCTCCTGTGTGCCCAGGAACCCTGTTATCTGGGTATTCAGAAAAGTGCTTCATCTGCTATCCTTGAGAAACACAATGGCTGTGCTGACCTGTCCCTTTCCATCACCTTCTGTAGCCAAAGACAGTGGTAATAAGGGAAGCTATAACATCTATGGACAGTGGGGAGGTAATACTTCCCCATTTCACTATAGATTTCAGCCACAACAGCCACTACTTCCCCCGCATGAATACAGAATTAAGCAAAGCTCAGCAAAGATTACTGGACAAATTTGGGGTCCTCCTCTGCCCTGGCATAATATCTGCTGATTACCAAATAAGTGACAGTGTAATTGTATTAGTGAAGACAACTGTGCAAAGAGCTGTGTACTCATGCTTCAACACTTAGCATGTATTTTCTAAAATTTAGTCCAGGGAAAATGGACATTCTCAAAGAGTTCAAAAGTGGTTTTATTATGCTTTTGCACACATGATTTAAATTCTCTCTAGGAAGCGAAACTAAGAAGGTGAAACAGACCTGCATGTATTTTTAAGGCTGCTTACTCCCCACTCTGAGACAAACTTTCGGTAGGAATAGAGGGCCCTGTGGAAACGGAAAAGCAAACATTTATAGAGATATGAACAAATAAACTTTGATGACCTACTTTCTCCTTCTCCCTTCTTCTCTCCCACCCCAGGGAACTGTAAGGATGTTAATAGAAAACTATATTCCACCTTATATATGGGAAAACATTCATGTTCCCACTCAGTCCTTCACCTTGCCTGAGTTACCTTCCCACTCAAAGTATTGGTTCACCCATCACTGCCTAAATAGGGACTGTATCCATTCCCTATGGTTGCTGCAACAAAGGACCAGAAACTGGGTATCTTAAAATAACAGAAATTTATTCTTGCATGTTTCTGTAGGCCAGAAATCCAAAATCAAGGTTTGACTTCAAGGTTGGCAGGGCCGTGTTCCCTCTGACATTCTGGGTAAAGTTTAGAGTTCTTCCTCGCTTCCTCTTAGCTTCTGGCGGTTGCCAGCCACCCTGGGCATTCCTTGGCCTGCGGCTGCAGCACCTCAGCTCTCCTCCCATGTGTCTGTGTGTCTTCTGATAAAGACACCAGTCATATTGGATTAACGGCCTGCTCTACCTATTAACTAATTATATCCGCAGTGATCCTATTTCCAAATAAGCTCACATTCTGAGGTTGTGTGGGTTAGGACTTTAACATATCTTTTTGGGGTACATGATTCAATTATAACAGAAACCTTGGAGATAATTCCACTAATAGTACAGTGAGGTCTGCAACAAGGTGTAGGCTGCTGGAGTACATCTAAGGAAGAAGGGAAAGCATCAGCGCAGTAGCTATTTTCTTTCTTAACACCCAGAGAACATTAAATGATCACTCTCCATAGCTGCAGAACCTATGTTATATACCTTTTGTAGAAAATAGATTACCATGCATATTCCACAAACTGCCTTTCATTCTTGCAAATAAAAACTCAAGCTACAATTATACTCCAGAATGTTTATATTAGTTCACAGTTGCCCCCATGAGACTGGTGAAAAGATAAACCATAGCATCATAGCTTTGAGCCTATGAAAGCTGTTTCGACTAGCACACTTGACTTCTGGTTCTGGCGTTACCACTTGCTAGCTATGTTATCCAGGACAAGTTATTACACTTCTCTGATTCTCAGTTTAACCACCTGTAAAATGGACAGCATAACAGTTCATGAAGTGTCATGCTGACAGAGTCAGATAAGGTGTGCAAAAGCATTTTGAAGGCTGTGCTATATCACTGTAAAATGCATTATCATTCTCTACGCACTCAGAAGAGTTGCTCTAATAGCCTCTGTGGGAGTCAGTGATAATTTGCCAGGCTGCTGTCTACTCTTGCTCTTTGAACATATATGTTGGTGTGCATACCCTTATAGGCCAAATGTTTTACAGGAAGCCTAACTTTGAAAAACTAAGTCTGTAGCAGTGTTTGTATAGAATGTGCAGCTTTCCATAATCAAAAGGACTGCATTCAGTTTTTATAATATTCCATCCAGCTTTTTGTGGAAGGTTGAAAGTGCTAAAGGAGACCAGGCTCGCCTGTGGCAGATTGCTATTATAATAGATATCATGAGGTTGATGTATTAACCTGGAAAGTACATCAGCCCTTTCAGGTTGTGTAATCTCCAGGTACATGTATTTATCGACCTTCCATTACAGTGATTCAAATTACTTTTTGGGGGATTAACTTCAGTGGGATGGGGCTGCTAACATTTTCAACAAATTTTTCTTGTTGCAACCAAGTTGTCAGAGTTGTCACCGTCATTCCCTGTTGGTTATCATTAATCATACTAGGCTTTTATACCCGAGAGCCCTGAGGCGTTGACTTTACAGATGATAGAATTATAAATGCCTTATTTCAAGCACTCCTGAAGATTGGCCTTAACCTTTGAATCTCAAATGATTTTTTTTTCTAGACCAGTGAGATCAAATTACATACTGAGGGAAACCAAATTGCACTGAGATCTGTTTCCCAATTTTATTGTATCCCTGTAGTTCTCAAGACATATTTTTTATTCCATGATCATAATACTAGAATTGCATTTCCTGCCCTTGGTTGTGGCTTTCAGAAGGTAATAAGTTTGCTGATGAGATTTGCACATTTCATTCCCTTAGCAGTAAAATGGTAGAACCTTGAGCTAAGGATTTTACGACTGTTTTCCTAAAATGACATTTCCATTTAATAAGACACTCAAAGACATTTTTTTCCTGTTTGTTCTAAATATTTACTATTATAATTCACTTCATCATTTAGATTTCTATGTAGTCAGTTCCTGCCTGTTAATGTGATGTTAGAAGGGATAATAACTCAGAGCCACAAGGGTCCGTGTTCCTTGGCAGAGAGTGGAGTCCTCCTGGGAGGAGTTCGTATGCAATCAGCGTTAGGCCAGATGCTGAATACACGTGTTCGTTGGTGTTTGTTCATTTGACCTACTAAAGCAATTCATCCCCTCAGTCCTTTCACTTCCATCCCCACACGCCATTTCTGACCCTCCATGCTGGCCCACCACTCACCTTCACTTTGCTATGTCCACCTGGACTTGCTGTCAGTTCTCAATCTGACTTGTTATCACTGCCCTCCACCTCCTCCAGGCAAAGATCATTTCCATTCAGCCTCTTCCTCTAGGATCCAACTTTGAGTCCCCCCTCACTAGCTTCCCTTTGTCTTTATTTCAGTGAGATGGATTAACAAATTTACCTCTTTACCAATTTTTAAAATGTGAGGTACAATAACAAATTCTTTCTGGTGCTATTATAATAATATGACTCAGTACAATAACCTGTATTTATTTACTACTTCTCTGTGTTTGTCTGTTTGATATACAGGAGGTCCAGTCTGGTCATAACAACCAAACTCTACTGGGGTGGAAAGTAAGTTATTTTTCCTACTAAACAGAAAACCACTAGTAGTTCCTGCTTTTTTTGCTGTTAGGCAGTTATTTTACATATAACATACTAAGATTAATTGGCTTAGAGAGAGGATTTTTTTTTTCTCATACTAAGGAAATACCAATTAGCCTAAGATTTAATTTCAGAAAGGTACTCCCAAAGAAATTTAGTGCAAAGCATGTGGTCACTTGTTACTAAGTGATTAATGTAGATTTTTCAAATACCAGTCTCATACTTAGAATCATTTCCAAAATAGAGTTCAAATTTCAGGAAAGGAAAATAGGCATGAAGCATCACAGAAGAAAAGTCACTCAAATCTGCCAAAACTCAGAGACTTCTACAGAATGCAAAGATAAAAATATCTTGTCTGGCTCCATGTCTAAGTCTCTGATCATTTCTGCAGAGGGCTCTGAAAGTGCTGATCAAAAGAACCATCTCATTGGAGAATAACATGGAGCTACCTGTATCACTCGCTGTCAGGCTAAATGAAAGAGAAATGTGCTCTCTGTTGTGGGATGCAGAGAAGATTTCATGGAATGAATTGGCTTCTTATGGGCCTGCTGGCATTTGAACTGGTACTTACATTATTCAGCAGGACTTAGAAGGATGGCCTTTTGACAAACATGTAAGAAGACAGCAAGCTATTCCATATACCAGAGCAATCATTGGTACTGTGCTTTTCCATCTTTGAGACAGAAATCATAACAAAAAGAAAAATGCTGGAGTTTTAACAAAAAGCAAAAACAAACAAAACCTTATTTATCTTCCTATAATTGATAGGGAATTTTTTAAATTGGAGGCAGAGGCCAATTCTTCTTTAGGAACCTTCTAATCAAAATGTATATGTGTATATACACACTTGCAAACATATACTCTGTTTTGTTGTTGGTTTTGAGCCTATTTATAATGATATGAAGACAGAAAGATGAATTTAAATTTGTATTCCTGTAGTAATCTGTACAAAAATAAAGCAACATCATGCCTATGAGAAATGCGGATTTTCATTGCCTGTGTTTTGATTCACAGTGCCATTGCTCAGTGCTTTTGCAATGCCACAAAACCTTGCAGGAAATAAGACAGTCTGCAAGAACCGTTATATCGTAGAATATGTAGTAGAATACTACCTACAGTATTACTAATGTATTTATTAAAAATACCGAATAAGAATATATTCACAAAAGTGAATGGTAAATATTATATTTAAAAAGAAGCTGCCAAAGGTATTGAAGATGAAGAAACATGTTATCAATACTTTAAAATTCAAGTACCATATTTCATTCAAATTGGCCAGAGCTTGAGAATTGGGAAGGCAAAAGTCCTTATGATTAAGGGTCTGTCTTCTGGAGATACTAATTTAAGGAACATTTGCTTCATCGCATTTTAATTTAGTTTTAAAATTTATTTTGGAAGTCAAAGGTACTTCCACATTTGCTTCCTTTATCAGAAAAGCTAACAAAGAAACTTCAGCAGCCTGGCAATCTTACAGTAAGCTCACAAACCTATGTCAAGCCTTTTATTTTCTTTAGATTGGTTAAGAACAAGGTGAAAAGGTTGTACAGTGTCTTGAGTTAAATATGGACAGAGTGTACGTGGCTGAGTTGCTGTTTACTGGAGCCTGGTGCTGAGCATGATAGAGGCATGGTGACCGTCGTGGATAATTCATCTACTGAGGTCTCCAAAGAAAAGGGGTTCAGTGTGTTGGCCACCAGACTTCTCTCCTCAGCCTCCAGTGGTGCAGAATTTGATAAGAACAGGGTACAAAACTAGCATTTCAGATCAGACATTTAGAGAAGAAAAGAAAGCACACTCTCATTCAAAGTTACTTGCTTCTTTTTCTTGGCAGAGCTGAAACAGAAAGAGGGCTGTCAAGAAAGCATATTATTGAAGGTGGGTGCTTCTGCTTCAATTTTATTTTGGGCTGTGGGCCCCTCGTTCAAGAAAGGTATCAACCAAACAAGTTCAGAATACACTGGAAGAGGAAAAAGTTCTATATGAAAAGTACCACAATCAACCAAGTTTCTTCTTGGGGTTAAATATAGGGAATGCAGAGATGTAGAGGGGAGAATGGAAACTCGAAAGGAAAAGGCAAAATTGTATAGAACTCTTCTCATTTTCAGCTATTACTAATATTAATAAAACATTCCCACAAGACTTTTTGAAAGAGCTTTGTTGAGATATAATGTACGTATCATAAAAGTTTACCCATGTAAAGTGTACATTTCATTAGTTCTGAGTATAATTACGGAGTTGTACACCAAACACCCTAATCTAATGTGAAAACATTTTTATCACCTCTAAAATAAACTTTATACTCACTAGAAGTCACTTCCTATCACCACCTCACCCCCTCCCACAGTCCCAAGCAACCATCAATCTACTTTTTATGTCTATAGATTTGACAATTCTGCATATTTCATGTAAATTAGATCCCATGACATATGATATTTTGTAACCGATTTCTTTCACTTAGCATAACGTTCATTCATGTTGTAGCACGTGTCAGTATTTTACCCCTTTCTTTGCCAAGTAATAGTCCACTATATGGATAGCCACATTTTGCTTATCCATTTACTAGTTAAACTACATTTGGCTTGTTTTCACTTTTTGGCTACTCTGAATAATGCTGCTATGAACATTTGTGTGCAAATTTTTGTGTAGACAAATGTTAAGACTACTATACTTTTTAGTTTTTATTTTATTATTGTTTAGATTTTTTTCAAATACATATATTTTTTATTTCAATAGCTTTTGGGATACGAGTGGTTTTTGGTTACATAATGAATTGTATAGTAGTGACCTCTAAGGCTTTAGTGCACTCATTACTGAGTAGTATACTCTACTGTTTTAGAAGGGTATATACATATGCATAGAAAAATGTATAGAAAATTACCACTAGGTAATTGATTCCTGGTGCATTACTTTTGCAAGGCACTCAAACTTTTGTGTAATTTAGAAATAAACAGGAAATAAAACAGTCAACAAGAACCATTATGTAATAAAGTACTACTACTCAATCGTGAAGATTGTGAGAATTGTGAGTAATTTTTGTTTATTTCTTGCTTGTCTATATATTATAAAATTTTACACTTATACTTTTTGCAGTAAAGAAAAATGTTAAGAGTTTATACTAGTTTGTGAAGTACAGATGCTCCTCAATTTATGATGGGATTACATCTCAACAAACCTATCTTAAATTGAGAATATCTTAAGCTGAAAATGCATTTAATACACCTAACCTACTAAACATCATAGCTTAGCCTAGCCTACCTTAAATATGCTTAAAACACTTATGTTGCCCTACAGTTGGGTAAAACCATCTAACACAAAACGTATTTTATAATAAGGCCTATTTTATAATAAATTGTCACATATATTAATAATTTATTGAATACTGTTCTGAAAGTGAAAAACAGAATGTTGTATGGAAACTCGATGTACAGTTTCTACTAAATGCATATCACTTCCACAACATCATAAAGTTGAAAAACCCTGAGTCAAACCATTGTAAGTTGTGAACTATCTGTATTTCAAAAAAAAATCCAAGAATTTTGTAGCTTTAGGTTCATGATTGATCATTGAAACAAGTGATTTTTCTCCTTTTTTAAAAATAATTTCATTTACTAATTACTAACATCTCCAGAAATGTAAAATGTGCTCTAATCTCACCACTTCAAAAATAAAAATAGATAAGGAAGCCAGCTTCTCCATTTGCTCATCCAGCCTCATCCCATCCCAGAGTTTGACAATCTGTATATATCTTCTTCACCTTTTCTCTATGGTTGTACTGACTTATCTATCTATCCATCCATCCAAACACTTGCTTATATTTTAAATATATATATAAACAGTAGAACCAAGCTACAAATACTAACTTGTCTTGATTTTTTCTCAATTAAAATATATAACTTACAGATTATTTTCAGTTTTTAGCGTCATAAAGAATTATACAAGTGACCATCCTTAGGTAAATAGGGTAGATTCCAGAGTGGCATTTCTAAGTCAAAGAATTATACAAATTTTAATACAAAATTACTTTCTAAAAGGAATATGCCATCCTGTTAGATGAGTTGGTCTTATCTCCTTATGTATATATTTATTTATTGGTGAGTTTGAGCTTCTTTTAATAATTTTGTTCTTCTTTTTCTGGAAATTCACTCTTCATGTTGTCAGGCTGTTTTTCTTTTGATTTGTTTGTCTTGGTCATAATAATTTGCAGGAACTCTTTGTATACTAGTGATGGTCACTGTTTGCTTGGTTATATATATTGCAAATATTTTCTCCTGGGCTGTCATTTCATTGTGAACTTTTTTTTCTTTCCATGAACCTAAGAGATAATGTTTCATTCAAGTATTTTTATTCCAACTTGGAAGCTGATGATCTTTATTGACCTATAAACAAAACTACATTGAAATATCTTAGACTTACAACAGAAAAAAAATAGTTTCAGTATTCAATCACTGAATTTAAAATGAAGACTTTTGAAGCCAGATCTCAAAATGTGTATATATGTGTGTGTGTGTGTATATATATATATGTATTCTTTCTCGATTGCCAGTGTGAATCATATGTGAGTGCATCTTTGTGTGTGTGTACATAGATATATACCATAATAATTACATCACCCCATTGTCTCCAAAGTCTTTATATAGGTTTAGTATCTCTCACTGACTATTTTTAAATATAATTTTAAGCATATGTGCTTTGAAGTCAGACAGACCTTTGTACAAGTTCCAACTCTGTCATTTATGAGCTAGTGACTTTGTGCAAGTTCCTTAACCTACCTAACCTCTGTCTCCTTAACTATAGACTATAAATATAAGGGTTACTATATGGGGATAAAAATTATATAATTCACATTGAGCACAGTGTCTGTCACATAATAAGCACTTAATACATGTTATTTTTGTCATCATCAACTGCTAGTCCTCTTTCCGTGGATAAGGATACTACTAAGTAGTGACATTCTGAAACAGCCACAACAAATGACAAACTTCTAGCCCTCAGAAAAACCTCCAGATTCCTCACCCAAACAGCATCCTTTCTCAGGCCTTAGTGTCCCATTTGACACTGTAAAGTCAAAGCTAACCTGCCTCTCAAAACTGTTACTGCCCTAGCATTCCTGCTCCAGCATTTGCCCTCATGACTTGTGTTCTCTTCCATGGAGTTTGTCAGTGACAAATAACCAAGTCAGCTCACAGAACCACGCTGAATGAACAGGGCAGCAGTTTGCTGCCAGAAAAGTTCTTGTTTTTTGTTCTTTTCTTGTTAATCTAATTAATTAGGAAAGAGATATTCAGAAAATGGTTGACACTGGCAATTAACAAAGAAATATAAAATCGAAGAGAAAAAGAAAGGAGAAGGTATGCTACTATACTCCTCACTGAATCTCCATGGCTCTAATATTTACCAGAGTGTGTACATAATTTCAGGGTTCTTTCTTCTTTCTTTCTTTACTTTTTTTTTTTTTTTTTTTTTTGAGACAGAGTCTTACTCTGCCACCTAGTCTGGAGTGCAGTGGCATGATCTCGGCTCACTGCAACCTCCGCCTCCAGGGTTCAAGTGATTCTCCTGCCTCAGCTTCCCAGGTAGCTGGGACTACAGGCATGCGCCACCATGCCCAGCTAATTTTTTTGTATTTTTAGTAGAGATGGGTTTCACCATGTTGGCCAGACTGGTCTCAAATTCCTGACCTCAGGTGATCTGCCCACAAATAAGCATTTTTTCAAGCCTCATATGACATAATAGAAATACCTTAAATTCCCTCCACCTTTAAATAAGTCAGGAATTCTCTTAGGAACTAATCTCTGAGGATGGATAAACCAGTTCAGCTGAAATTCAAGCTGACCCAGATTCAAACTTTAACACAAAATTTCAAACTTTTGAGATGGAAGAAGAATTGAGATAATTTGTTATTATGTTGTTGTTGGTGGTGTTATTTTACAGTCCATAGTTTCTGCCAAAGATAAAGCTTTGTGATTACAAGAGAATTAGCTCAAAGTATTTTCTAGGCAGGCTGAAATTAGGGGATTGAGTGAATTTTGCAGAAAAGCAAGGACATGAGATGAGACCCAAAATAAAGTTTAAAAGAGTTTACAAGTCATTATCCTTGGATTTCACTGGTACTTGGTTCTGTGATGAAGGTGACCTCATTCGACATTGGAGATTTGTATACAAATTAAATTTGAGAAGTACTATTAGAGGATAAGACAGAAAGTTCAAATTGATACAGAGTTCAGGACACTTCTGTGCTGGCTGACCTGAGCCACCTGAATTAGTTTACAGAGTATACAATGAGCTTGACTTGTGTATAATGTAGGTTTGAAAGAGTTCATGTTGAAAGGCCTTTTTAATGAGCCCAAAGTTCTTGACTTAGATCTGCTTAGGTGTAATGCTCTCCTTAGATTCACAAGGAGGAGGAAGAAATTTCACTAGTAGATTGATTGCACTCATTTAGAATCCCAAAGTCCCCTCGGGTTCTAAAATCCAATTTACTCATTCAGCCATTCCACAAACATTTGTTAAACCCCAATTTGAGCCAATGTTGGAATGGAGCAGGGCAGATTCCTTTGGTGCTGGCTCGGCATGGTGGCTTATGCCTGTAATCCCAATGATTTAGGAGGCTGAGACGGGAGGATGGCTTGAGGCCAGGAGCTTGAAACCAGCCTGGTCATCATAGTGAGACCCTTGTCTCTACAGAAAAAAAAAATAATAATAAATAATAAATAAATAAATAAATAAAAATAAAATAAAACACGTTCCTTCAGTGCCTAATGTAAAGGAAAAGAAATAGTTTGGTAGGTCACTGAGTAAGAATAAGTAAATCTCTTGTGTATTCCAATAGCCAAAAGCTGTGTCTGACTCTACATTTGCCTTTCAGATAAACAGTTTTGTTATGCAATTCAAAACACAAATCCACTGCCATTATTTTTGGAGTAGGAGAGGAAAATAATCTGAGAAAGCTCTGCTTGAAACTTTTAAATTAATAACAAATGTTAAACTCTATGAACTTTAAAAGAAAAAGACAATCTATGATTTTTCAATTAAAGAATACATTTCTAAACAAATGGATTTGCCACAGGATTTTTTTTCCGTGTACTACATTCATGTAAACGTACATCACCCATCGAGGATAACCACGTTTCATAACAGGAGGCACAGCCACATGCTGAATATGATTCCGATACAACTCAGCCTTTAAAAAAGAAGCAGATGTCTCAAATTATGACGATAGGTCTGCTGAGAAAAAACTAGAAATTATATAAACAATGTATATTATTTAAGGCAACTTTTTTTGCAAGCTAGATAGAAAAGCAAGTGCGTGGTAGGTGTAAAAGGTGACGACACAGCATGCTTAAATAGAACCCTTGCAGAATCTCCAAACTACTGATTTCCTTGCTTCCACACAAACCTGCAGCACCGAACACCCCATCCACCTCTAACTGTGCCAATCTGCTGACTGTCTGGAATAAGCGTATTTCTTTAGAAACCTGTGAAATATGCTTAAATTGAATTAAGGTTACCTTCTAAACATTATGGTTCTTGTTAAACTTTGGAACCTAAAAGAAAAATGGACTTAGATTTTTTTTTTTTTTTTTTACTGTAGTCACTTGAAAACTATTTTCTTTAAGTAATTTATTTTCCTGTGAACTTTTGAGAAATTGCCAGTTTACTTCTAATTATCTCCTCAAGGTCAGGGAGCATTTCTGCTGTTTCTCCTGTTTTCCCCTCCCACAGGTGCTGGGTTAGTGCAGAGGGACAGGCTAAGGTCAAATTGCCTTCAGCAAGTGCATTTACTGCACTGGAGCACTTAACTCCTTAGGTTAAGATTGGCTGCCCAGCTGCCCTTCTGGAGCCAAGGTTAATGCATTTTTGCATGTCTACTTAAACTTAAAACAATACCTGGCCCTAAGCCAGTGCTCAACAAACATTTGCTAAATGGAGATAGAACCCGATGACTTGTTTTTTTGAAACTAAACGTAAATGACTCTGAAGGAGATACTCATGAAACATATCTTAATGAAAAAGCAGGAATACCTGGTTTGGTTTGTAGTCACATGAAAGACCAAAGCAGGAAGATCAGCTAGCACCATTTTGTCCTTGGACAGATGAGGAAACTGAGGCTCAGAGAGGCTAAGGGATATCACAGGGTTATTCAGGACAACCCAAATCAGTACCTTGAATCCCAGACCCTGTGCCTCACCTCCTCTGAACGCCAGACTGGTCCATCCAGCTGCCAAGAGCTCCATGTAGTGACTGAGGTGCTGCTTAGACTAAACTTGGCTCCCCGACCACCTCCGGTTAGCTTTCCCCCTGACTGCCCCATTTAGTAACAGTCACTTCACTTCTCAGGCCCCAAATCTAGGAGTCGTTCTTGTTTACTCTAACCTCCACACCCTATATGCAGCACACCAGCAAGTCCGTGTATTTCTACTTACACCACTTGTCTCAAATTTATACACCTCTCACTAACTTTGTCTGAGCTGGATGGGCTGCAGTGGCTGTGCCTGCCTTCACTCTTGTGCCTTCAGGTCCCTCTCAGCAGGTGGAGCCATCAGTTCAAAATGGAAATCTGATCATATTATTTCCCCTGCTTAATCTCCTCCTCACTGGAACCTCCCCTACCAGTGTCTTTAAATCTCACACAGAATCCAAAGTTCATACCATGGATTACAAGACTTTATGTGATTGAGATTTGTAAAGTGAGTGGATAGTGTCCTTTGGAGGGACAATTTCCTTTCATTCCACTTCAAAGTCAGAGGAGGGATCACTGGCCTCAGATACTTGAATTTCTTGCCAAATATCAAGAAAGAGTGCTTTTCAGAGAAAGAATTAAAGAGGTGGGAATGACCAAATACCATGAGGCTGACCTTAATATCAAGTCCATATCATTAGTTCCAGGTACACATTACAACCTTGAACAAGGAAGCTGTGCCAATAGATGCTCTCAATATGCACTGTTAGAGCTCCTTGGGATGAAGACTGTGTCTGTGCATCTTTAAACGCTGAGAGCCTGGCACAGTCTCAGGATGAAATTGGGACTCAATACATGCTCATGGGATGGAATAATAAATGACAAAAAGTCACACCTATCTGTGACATGCCTCATCACACAGTGCTGTAACAGTGCCAAGTTATTTGTAGCTGCTTCTGCTAGTTACTCTCAGCCCACACTGAGCTATTTAGAAGAGAACAGGAAGAGAGGGCCATTGTCAGAAAACAAGATACTTATTTCGTCTGCCAAGCACAGGCCAGAACTGTCATTAAATGCCCCTCTCCAAAACAGGGGGTCTAGTGAAAATTTTTGGCATTTGGTCTTTTGCTGTCTTCCCCCTGGCACTTTCCAGATGTGAACACCACGGTATAATTTCACGTTGTGGTTCTGTAGACTGTGTTACACAGCTCTCCCAGGAACACCAATTCTGAAGGTGTCAGTATTGGCCCACTGCAGACTAGAGAATTGAGTCTCAAAAAAAGGTCAAAGAACCCAAGTGGGGTCCCAAGCATGCTAGAGTGCAGATTTCCAGCCTTTCAAACCTTGTGATATCCTGTTATTTGTTTACTTAGTATTCCTGTCCTTTCCTTACCTCCTCCCTGCATACAACTGTTCCCCAAAGTGGCTCATATCATGATATTTTTTCACGTTAATTTAATTTCACACCGTTTCTTGAAATAGCTGGTGATACCCTGTGCCTGAGCATCACGGAAGGTTTATAAGAGCAGGCATTAGACCTCATAACATCTGTCTGCCCTAATCTCTTCATCAAAGCTTTAAACAAGCTGCCATCACAGACAGTCCTTTCTCAATGGATGGAAAATATTTCCGGAACAATATTCAAGCACTCCATCTTCCTGTCAGAAAACTAATTGTGGCTGGCTGATAAACCAGTATGAAAAAATCAAATTTAAATGAACCAAATTTAAATTTATAAGAGCCTCATTTAACATGCAATTAATTTTATGTCTATAATAAAGAGAGTAAAGCCTCTGGTCTCCCTGAGGAATTAAAGAGGCTGATAAGAGAATGCTAAATGCTGTGCCCCATGGAAATGGGATAACATGATTCTCAAACACTGTCATCCTTTTGGTTGCATAATATTATATACAATATGTTCTATTTCAGGGAAGTATTAATTTTACTAAAATTAATTTTTTTCTGAGTATTCATAGAAATGTGACCAAATGGTTAGAGCTGAAACATAGGCTGTTGGTTCCTGACTCCCTTTTCAAGTTCTTATTCTCTCCTTTATATTACCTCTTCAGTCTTTATAGCTTCTAATGTTTTTGTTTCTTCCCCCAAAATGGGGAATAATAGAAATGTTAGAGCTCAGCTATATTTTATGTTCCTTAAACTTTGTTCCAATTAGTAAAATGTTGAGCAAAGGCTTCATTTGCTAACCCCTTTATATTACTATTAAAACCAACATTTACATTAAGATGGGGTTGGGGCAGTCATTTATTTCTGATTTAAACCATTCTAATGAGTTTTATGTGTAATAAATGTATCTCTGGCTCACTATAAGCCTATTAAGTGATCCAAAACATAAACATTAATTTGCATTGTTCAAGAAGAAAAACACTAACTGTTGGAAAGAAGCTGCTTTTTATTCTAAACTTTGCTTCTGGATATTGCCTCATACAAGTTACTGTGAAGGTCGTTCCTAAGTATGTATTTTCCTGTGAGAGTGATAATATTCCTGAAAAAGTTCTAAGACTTTTCTTGTTGGGGGAAGTCAGCCTTTGATGTAATTTTAAAACGTTCTAGGGTCAATTAGCAATCATTGTATTCAAAGCATTTTTGAAACTATTCCAATTCTATTTTTTTAAAGTAAATTCTTGGAAGAAACCAAACTTCAACTCTTTGAATACTGCTCATATTTAGATTTTGGGGTTTGTTTCCTGCTTCTGCTCCCAGGATTGAAGGGCTCCCTTCAGAGGCTGCAGCTGGAGTATGTGGATGTGGTCTTTGCTAATCGACCAGACAGTAACACTCCCATGGAAGGTAAGTTAAGAACTTTAATAAAATACTCTAGAATTCTTGATTCAGTTTGAGGACTTACTCTGCTCACAGTAGGAAATGAATTGTATTCAGACTGATTGAACTGAATGTGGAAAAAAAAAAATATTTCTGACTGATGCCTTTTGGCCTCAGCATTTACCCCCAAAACCAATGCTCTGTCTGCTGCATCTTCTTATTTGAAAGCAGTTGAAGGCATTGGGTTTGTGGCTCCCGCTGGTTACAGTGCTCACCTTTTCCAGGTTCATTTCACTTTCATGATTTCATCAGCTAAAACAATAAAGTTAATTGCAAAGGGGCTTTATAACACAGCCATCATCATTTCACAGTAAATCCTTTGAGGGTCTTCCTATTTTCTAATGGCTCTAAGTCTGATTAGTTTCCAGTCTGTGGTAGCAGTGCTCAGTGGTGCCACCAGCAGGGATTCCACAGCAGCGACTGCTTCAAAGTAAGATTTCATTGCAGTTTGATTGTTGATTCTCAAGGAGCTGCAACATTTTATCGCCTTTCTGTTATAACTGTTTGAGGACCACAGTTTAAGCTTCTTCCTCTGGAAGCTTTCAGAATGTTTCTAAAACCAGATTTTCTTCAATTTACATTTATTTACGGAACTTGCTAGGATGTTTGAGGCAGAAGATAGTTTGAGAGGATGAGGATGAATTGAAAAGAATGTTCCAGTTAACTGAAGTTCAAAATCACATGGATTATCACTTACCTGAGGTGACTGAGAATGAAGATATTTGAGAAAAAGAGCAAAAATGAATATTCTGGTTATTTGAACAATATGATATGGATTGCCACTTTTAAAATAATTAGAATAGTTTGATTCACATGAGATTACACTGAAGGTAACTTTGTCCTTGATGATTCAAAAGGCAGGATCTTGTAATAAACCAGATTCTGTAAAGAGTGATTCTTGTTATAGGGTTATAGAAGGGTTATAGTAATGGAAAAGTATAAATGATTGACATATTATAAATTTTTCTAGGTTGTATTTCTGACCATAAAAAAGTTATGGAAATTATTTTCCTTGCCATTTATCTCATTCTCAACTACAGAGAAATGTAAAATATATATATTCTTATATCTAACTTTCTCCTACAGTTTTCTTCTTTCTTGAATCTGGGTAAAATTAGGAGTTTATTATAAACAGTATCAGTGTTGGAAATTTTCCATGGAAATGGACATAAATCTGCATATTTTTTGTCAAAGCAAAGATTAGGTGTTTGATAAAGCAAATCATAAGCATAAGAAGTATTTATTGCAAAGATAATATGATGTCATACAACTCTTTTTTATTTTTTATCTTATTTTTCCATAAGTTATTGGGGTACAGGTCGTAGTTGGTTACGTGAGTAAGTGCTTTAGTGGTGATTTGTAAGATTTTGGTGCACTTATCACTCGAGCAGAATACACTGCTCCATATTTGTAGTCTTTTATCCCTCGCCCCTCTCCCACTCTTCCCCCCAAGTCCCCAAAGTCCATTGTAGCATGTTGATGCCTTTGTGTACTCATAGCTTAGTTCTCACATATCAGTGAGAACATATAATATTTGGTTTTCCATTCCTGGGTTACTTCACTTAGAATAATAGTCTCCAGTATCATCCAGGTCACTGCAAATGCTATTAATTCATTCCTTTTTATGGCTGAGTAGTATTCCATCATATATATATATGATATATATATATATATATCTCACAGTTTCTTTATTCACTCATTGATTGATGAGCATTTGAGTTGGTTCCACGATTTTTGCAATTGTGAATTGTGCTGCTGTAAACACGCATGTGCAAGTATCTTTTTCAAATAATGACTTCTTTTCCTCTGGGTAGATACCCAGTAGTGGGGTTGCTGCATCAAATGGTAGTTCTACTTTTAGTTCTTTAAGGAATATCCACACTGTTTTCCATAGTGGCTGTACTAGTTTACATTCCCACCAGCAGTGTAGAAATGTTCCAGTCATACAATTCTTAATGACACATGAAAACAGAGCACTAAAGTTATTTAGTCTGCAAAAGTGTCAAGTAAAATGCCATTTAGTGAGGTCTATGAAAGACTGGAATTGCTTCACATTTTAGGTGCCTAGTGACTATTTCCTCTTTTAGACAGTGTTCTTTGCAACTATACCATGTACAGGATAGCAGAACATCTAAAATTTTTAAGGATTTTTTTCCCCCATCTTACCTCTGCCTTTTATTTTTGGAATATATTGTAGGAGTCTCTCAAACAGAAAACATAATTTACATTACATTTATAGAAGAAGGAGGAAATCCTCAATTAGGAGTCAAACTATGTGACACCAACAAGATAATGATGTCTCTTGTATCAATATTTATAATATGTTGAAATTTATTAAAAGAAATCTTCAAAGTGTTTTAAAAAATACTTTTGCTGCTGTCTGGTGGAGTTCACAACATTGTTTAGCCTTTGTGGGAATCAGAGAAAATTTACATTTTCCCCAAGTAGTTTCTTATATACAATTCCACAAAGCGGAATGGGAAGCTATTTTATCATGAGTCATTTTCCAAGTTCAGAAGCATAATGAAGAGTGTCAAACAATGGAGATTTGCCACTTGTTGATAAGGTCAAGGCACATGGCATTTTGTAGCACAGCAGCAATCAATCACCTCATGCTGGAATGTAGCCTGCTTCCCCTCACCAGCAAGAGGAGACTCACCCAAGCAGGCCAATCAAGTTTTGAGGCTTCTTCTTCTGGGAGGACCTAGCAGGGACGTTCCACAGGCAGCTCCTCATGCAGGACTTGTTCCAGATTGAAATAGCATCCATGTGAGTGTTTCCTAGCTTTCAGAAAATGTTTATCCTCAAACTTAGTACACGCATTTGTTCCAAGGTGGGTCTACTGGAACAATCAGAGTTTGATGTAAGTCTCTGGGAACACATCTATACATATAGTCTTTTCTACTTTACTGTGCCAGGGGAAAGTACTGATCTGGGAAATAAAGAAGCAATAGGAAATAAAGAGACAGGACTGTCAGGTGGACTTGGGTACGTTTGGCACCCTAAAAATGGGGGAAAAATAAGGGCCTGTGTTAGTTCTGGATTCCATGTTGTTGAGAGTCACCTTTGCAACAATTTTGTAAATCACACTGTGTATGTATGGGAATAAAGCTGTACATGTACAATGGGGGTATACCTTAGGAAGGCTATTAGTGTTTCTAAAAACATGACAGAAGTCAAATGTTATTTATAATCAAATTACCCTTGAAAACACTGCAGTAACTCTGTTAGTCAATGATATTCTATTGGCTTTAATTAATTATTCAATTTATTTTTCAAATGTGGTGAAAAAAATCATCACTAGATAGTTGTTCAACCTTTTTATTTTTTGGTAGAGGCAGAAAAATCCTTAATATCAAATGATATTACTTTTTTCTCGTTTCAGCAACTCACATTGGCTACTTTAGGCTCACTTGCATCCATTTCTGTTTAAGTGACGAAACAGTGGTTGCCAAGTATATATTGTGGCGTATTTATATATTAAATCTACATGTATTAATACTATAGACCCTTAGCGTTTGTAAATCATTTTTATTGATTTCAACCATTATTTGTCAACTCCATGGAGTCACAACACATGCTGACATAATTTTGCTGAGGCACCTCTTTTAAACACAGGGGACATAGCACTTTCAAATGAGTTCAACCCAACTCAGTGCTTGCTCTTATTTGTCACTGATTACCGAGTAGAGTAGTGTTCAAGAACTTGGAGACACTGAGAGTCTCCAGTCATAAACTATGCAAATGTCAAGGGTCATGTGTGTGCCCACAATGAGCATCGCTAAGACACGTTTTAAACAACTTCCATTTAAACATTATTAAAATGCCAATTGCATTCATGTGATTTCTACCATGAAATGATGTTAATCGGGAACATTTTAAAAATAAACCAAGATGAGTTTCAGCCAGTTTCTACATATCGTATAGCAACCATTTGAGCCAGAAAAAGATTAACTGCAGCATCTTTATAATATATTGGCATCATATATCCAATTAGTTGTTTCCTTCCCTTATTTCTTAGAAGATCAATAGACAAAAAGTGAGTCCTCTCAAAAGAATGGCTGTAAATTCCAAAGGTGCAATCAGTGGAGAAAGGGGTGAGACACTTCATTCGCAATCTGCAACCCCATGGAATACAGTTAGACATTTTCAGGCTATGGGAAGATGTTCCTGACAACAGAGGGGAGCTTGTGTACTTTTTCCTCTGTCCCTCTTGTTTATTTTTTCTGGTTCACCTAGTAGTAAGTCATTTTTCTTTCACAGCATCTGTCATGCCATCTGTCTCTGCTACAATATCTGGCAACGATGGTATGTTTTCCAGTCCTAGAAAAAAATCAGCCCCACATCCCATTTCTTCCTTCTTATGGGTCTGTGTTCCTCCCAGTAGAGTCACTGACAGTTTTTTATGCTCTATGAAGCTCATATCCTTAATTCTCTCACTTCCACAAATCCCTAATATGTATTTCAAAATCTTCTCTCGAGCTCATTAGACAAGAAAAAGTTCAGGCAATAGAGTCAGTCTGGACATGGATAGACAAAGAGCATTTGCGTGTCCAAGGACATGTATGAGGAGTTTTTTGTTTGTTTGTTTGTTTGTTTGATTGATTTTCTGTCATTCCCAAACACCAGGCTAATATCTCTACCTATACTATTCTCACTGCTCCAGGAAGAAGAGATTGAGCCTAACTGTGGTCATGAAAGGAGAGTGTAAGCCTGTACCCCTTGTAGACAAAAGCAAAAAGAGGGGACACACTAACTTGTTGATCTAAGAATCTGATTTTTAAATTAAATTAAATTTTAGTTAGTATTTGATTTTAAAAAACACTTGGAATTGAGTCTTTACTTTTCACATAGAGCTTTTTGCCAAAACTGATTATTCTTACAGAATTCCTGAGTCATTAAATATTACTTCCATACTGATTACAGTTCCAGTTATTTATTTTTTCCTGCTAGCAGATCAGTGCAGA